TAAATGGGCTCTGGCATGTCACAGTGGCTGTCAAACACAAACACAAACACAAACACATCCACAAAGTCTTTGACACTTTTCCCTCAAGAGGCGGCATTTCCCTCCTCAGGTGTGAGCTGGCTTTACTGACTCATTGTTAACAAATTGAAGTTGGCGGAAGTGATGGTGTTTGATTTCTGAGACCAACCCACACAAGGCATTGTGCTTCTTCCCTGCTCGCTCTCGCTCTCGGCCACCCACTCTTGGGGGAAGCTAGCCACCGTGTATATGAGCCCTCTGCACAGATGCATGTGGTGAGCAGCTGAGGCCTCCGGCCAACAGCCAGCAGGGCACTCAGGCCTCCTGAGCTGCCTAGAAACAGATCTGACAGCCAAGCCTCGCTGATGCGGGCAGCGCAGGTCTTGGTAGCAATCTTGTGAGAAACCCTTGGCCAGAACCATTCGCCTACAGACGCGCCTGAATTCCAGACCCACTGTGAGGCCATAACTGCTTGGTGTTGGTAGGTTTGGGACAATTTGTTGCACAGCAATAGACAATGAATACGGAAATCCTTGTGCTCTCTCAGTCAAGGCAGAGATCACAGAAGGGCAGCCTGTGGGCTGTGGTCTGCTCACAGATGTATTTCATTTGGCCAATACAGGGTGGAAACCATTGGCTTTAGGCCCAGCCATGGTGGTGTGAGTGGGGGGTGCTACGTCGTGGAGGTTGATGCCACATCAGGGAGGCCTGAATTTGGTTCCCAGCCCAACCTAAACAGGTTGGAGATAGTGGCCTACATCTGTGGCCCTTACTGACCGGAAAGCTGGGTCAGGAGGATCCTGGCGTGAGACACTGTCAGAAATATCTATCACTGGGACCAGCAGATGGCAAAATGGTTATGTTGCTGGACTCCTCCATAGTCGACCGCATTTCGAGTCCTGGACTCAGCAGCTTGAAACTCATGCCGGGCACATGTGCATGCACGCCCAAAATCCCAAGAGGAGAACAGAGGGGAAGGGATTACAACGTGGCCATCCCCTTTTGGTGGGGAGGGATAATTTCTCACTTTTTGTTTCCCCGTCTCTTTCTGTCTTCCAATGAACGCACACACTCTATAGCAAAAATCTCTCAAAAATGGGGCTGGCAGTTGGCATGGTGGCTAAGGGTGCTGGACTCCCACATGACCAACTGTGGTTTGAGTCCCAGACCTGGTGGCTTACTTTCTCACTTTCTCGCTCACTCTGTCTCTCTCTGGTCAAATTAAAATAAATAATTACCTAAATAAAATAAAGTTCAATAAAATAATTCTTTTTTAAAAATCTCTTTTAAAAATCTATTAAAAAAAGGAAAAAAGACAGAAATTAGTTGCTAGTATTTAAAAGTTGGGATGTGGCCCATAGAAACTCAGATTTCTGACTTCTCTTAACAATTTCGCATTTCTGGGCCCACTTGCCCATGTGATAAAAGCCAGCTGGAGATGAAGTGGCATCTCTTTAGACATGTATTAATTCTCCAGTTTGTCACACTCACCACCACTCCCCTATGTCTCTTCGCTAGGCTGAGTTTTTCATTTTGTTTCCCGCTTGACTCCGTAGACATCTGAACTTTCGTGGCACTGTGAAGTATTTTTATGAGACTCAGGCACAGCTGATATGAGAGCCAGAGTCAAAGCTTTGATCCACGGATGCAGCATGGAGTGGGTTAACACTGGCTCACACACTGGGGGGAACAAGCCTTCCCTCGTCTGGGAGAAGAGAAGAAGGCAGGGCTGCAGCTTCGGGCTCCCAGGTTCAGTCCCTTCTTACAGATCTTCACACTGCAGCCTCTCAGGGCCGCCCAGAGAATCACACACGCCACCACTCTTGTTTTCTCCATACCTTTTATTGAACTCTGCAGACTTCATTAAGGAACCATTTGCTTGGAAATTCTTAAACATTTGGACATATTTTACAAGACAGGACAGCAGCTGGAGGTCACACAAGGATCACGATTTCATCTCACCACATGCATAAACAGACACTGGATTTCTGTTTGGTTTCAGTGTGTGTGTGTGTGTGTGTGTGTGTGTGTGTGTGTGCAATGCTCATTTTCATCTTTACAAGGAGGGTTAGAGACGTAAACTGACGAGAGATGAACAGGACCCACGAACGCGACCCCAAGAAAAGAGCGGCTGAGGACATAGGTCATTTATGGCTAATGTGATTGGCTTGGCCCCCATCAAGGGTGGGGCAGTCAGAATGGCTTTGCTGGCAGAAAAGCCCCAATTTCACTCCATGGATTCCTGTGAGAGACAGAGAGTCTTAGCTGAGGGGATCGGGGTGCATGCTAACATGGGGGGGTTGGGGCTCAGAGAAAAGGAAACCATTGGCTCCAAAAGCTTGAGGACAGACTGGCCCTTTTATCCAGCTGGACCCCCATGGCTCAGGAAATGCAATCCAGTTTCCAGATACTGGCTCCTGCTCCTGCCCCAGCAAGTCCCAGACTAAGAGAAACCCCAGCCTCGGACCCTTGGCTTAGCCCACACGAAGTCCATGGAGCGTCTCTGTGTGGCCTAAGCTAGAGCCTGAGGTGGAAAAGCGCAGGAAGGGGAGTGAGAAGAACGCTGAGATGCCTGTGGGCCCCCCAGAAGCATGGCTCTGTGGCTCTTATCAGCTTGGGGCAAGTGTCAAATTTGGATGTTACCTTGACGCCAGATAAAGTCAAAGAACAGAGCATCTAGGTGAGCAGTGACAGGCTTCAGTGGGAGAGGGGCCCCCAGGTTCTTCTCCCTTCCTGATTAGTAATACCATAAGCCAGAGAAGAACTCATGAAGTCTAAGCTCCACCCACACATTCACCGGTCCATTGGTTCACTCAGAGGTCATTCCAGTGCTCGCCCTCAAAAACAACACAAGTTGAATGATCACTACATCAAGAGCACACTTTAGGGAAAACCCCGAGTTCCTTGTGCAGAAAACGGGCTTCCTCACCCTTGACCTTGAAGTCAAGATAGGTTTAGAGAGCCAAGCAGCCAGCAGCCGATCCTGTCCAGCAGTGGCCAATCCTCCCTGTCCCCGCCCACGCAGGCATGCTCTGCTCTTACACGTGAACTGTCGTCATCTAAAAGAAAAACTAAAAGAGCCCAAGTGCCAGGGAAGCCCAGAGGGCAGTGAGCCAAGCTGCAGAGAAGTCAGACACTCCTAGGCTGCTTTTCCTGCGCTCACCCTTCTTTCCAAACCTGGTTAACTCGGCGAAGCAGGAAGAGCAGGGCGATCCTTGCCTGGCCCTTGAGAGCATCCTAATGGGACAGACTGGGAGTGTCCTCCCGTTCCCTGAACTATCCTGTTATTGTCGCCTTGTGATGTTCCAACTTGAGCTCCCTGCGGAAAAGAGCCTGGGGGGCGGGGGGCTGATTTTTGTTTTATTTGGTTTCAGAGGAGGGCAGCTGCTCAGTCTACCCATCCAAACACATGGTCCCACCTTGCCCAATCAACACCCTGAGGCTGATTGGACCTGTGTTCACGCTGAGGTTGCAGCTCTCCTCCACAGCCACCACACACCACTGCACATGTGTCTGTGTGAGGGGCTCACAGATCGCTCTTGCCAGATACTTTCCTGCAGAATGCAGTATCCAGACCGATTTGGAAAGAAAGCCACGGTAGTGGGGGAGTGGGCATTCTGCGCCGAGGCAGCTGAAGGCTTGTTTTGTTGTAAAATAGAACATGGCCGCCTCTCTCTTTTGGCCCTTGTGGATTTACTTCATGGTTGGGGACTTTCAAATGTCTTGAATGAGATCTCCTGCTTTTTATTTTTTTACCCAAAAAAGAAGCCCTTTTGGTTCTGGTGCCATTTGCTGAGGCCTGGGCAGTTGTCTACTGGGTGGCTGGTTAGTGGTAAGTTCATTGTATCTCTGGTATAGAAAGCCTTGGGCTCCGGAGGGTGCAGGGTCTGGGCAGAAGGACTGAAGCACCGTGAGATGGCCAGCCAGAGATGGGGGGCTTTGTGGGCTGTTCCATGCCTGGCCTGAAACAGGTGGCATGAGTCCCACTCTGATGTGGTACTGCTTAGGTCACTGAGGAGGGCTCATGAATAGGGCGCTTCAATTTTCTGGGACAAAGAGCAGAGAGGCTGCAGGGTATCCTCTTGTCACCTTCCTGCTTTGGCACCCCTCCCCACAGCTACAAATCCTAGACTCTAAGTTCCTGCTAACTGGGCCCCAGGCATAGGCCACAGTGGCTTGAGCCTGTGTCCAGAATGTTCAAACCACCTACCCACACGTGTGTGCAGTGTACACACACACACACCACACCATAAAACTAGGAGAGGTTCCCTGTTTAGTCCAGTTTTCATGCAATACCAGGGATTCTTCAATGCCCTCTTGCCCCTCTTTAAACACCTATGTGGTAAGGAATTCATTATCTACCATGACATGCCATTGGGGTCTACGCTCAGACAGCTCAGCCTACTGGAAGAGCTTCCTTAATCTGACCTGCAGTCCACCGCTCTGCCCCTCTCACGCAAGCCTTGCATGCAGACTTGCTTCCAGAGTCTTCAATGTGGCCATCCTTCAGTTGGGTGGTGTCACGCTCAGGTGAACTGTACCATTCTACCCTATCCTGGCTAGCCTGGAAGAGGAGAGCTTTCCGGATCTTTCCAGAAATGGAAAGTTAGGGAGGGAAAGATGAGGGATGCTTGATAAACAGAGCCCCTTCCAAATTCAGTTCTTCAAATTGGCACTTGGGGATGTTCAGGAGAAAGCCCGGGTTTAGACAATATTGGGGACATTGATGGAAACTCAAACCATACAACACTTTCTTGATGAGGATGGCTATGGGCAGGGCTGTCTGCTTCTCTGAACGTCAAACCTAGGAAACAAGTGGGAGGCCATTTTGTTTTGTTTTTATTGTCCTTGTACAAAAGTTTTTTTTAAATCTTGTGTTTGATTTAGCTCTGGTTCAGATCAGATTACCAGGATAGGAACATTCTGATTAAGGTCATTGTGCAAAATAGTAAGTCTGTATTTGGGCAGACTTACTTCCGCTTGTGGTTTCTCTGGTAGGGACAGGCCACTGCCATCTGGGGGTCCTGGTTGGTCTCACATCTCTGATTCTGGCAGAGTCCTGAACCCAGCAGCTGGCAGCGAGACAGGTCGGACACTGAGACCCGCATGAAAGTGAGGTGGGGATGACCCGGCCTTTCCTCATCGTCCTGCACGGCTGGTGGGTGGAGAATCACTTTCTGCTCAAGATCCTGCTCAGTGAATCTCCTCTGCCCACCGGAGGCTGAAAACTGCCTCGTGGAATTAATGACCACAATGATCCAAAAACTCCCCAAGGCTTGGATAGGCGAAGCTGGAAAAATCCACTGCTCTTGCCACAAATCTCCTGCCCTGTGGATCCAGGCAGCTGGAGCGAGAAGGGAGATGAGATAGCAGATTCTAGGGACATCTCCATAGGGTTTGGCTGTACTGGTGTCTGGCCAGTATTTTTTTTTTTTTTGGCTGTAAAAGCTGGATTGAAATGAGGCCCACCATGTTCTTCTGGGGTTCAAGAACCCTAAAATGCTCTAGCCTTAATATCCGATTGATACACAGGGGAGTGGAGTACTTAGCAGAGGAACGGGCCCGCCAAAAGGGACTTCGGTGCGTTCTGGGTCTCAGAAATGGCAGCAGAAAGTTTGTTCACAGGAGATTTTTGGTTCCAAGATCTGTAAGGATGAGAAAACTCCTAGGAGGGGTGTGGAGGATGAGCTCAGAGAACCAGCCCACGTCCCTTCCTGATTTTGAGGTCCATCTGTGGCCCTGCCTCCCTTGGCCTCACTCCTGCATTCATGCCCTGAATTCTAAGGAACAATGAATAGGAGGAACGCAGAATTAGGAAAGCAACAACGTCAGCAGACTCTAGGCCTAGCGTCAGGAAATGCCTACACAAGGAAGCCAACCCCCAGAGCCCTTCCCCACCCCCAGAAAATCGGAATCAAAAAAACAGAAGAAAAGAAAAAACAGCCCAAGAGATGATGGGAAGAAATGAAAAATGGCCAGAAAATATCACCTATGATAATGACCAACCATAAAAACCCTAAGATATTATTTCATAGTACAAAAGAAGAAACTAGACTGAATTGCCCTATTATAAATTTGCTAAAAATACATATATATATATATATATTTATCTGAACAGAAAAATAGACTACTTTGAGATGCGTGGAGGTCCTATAACGTGGTCGCGCATCAGATACGTCGAGAGCCAGAAAAATGGCAAAAGAAAATGCAGAGGTAACTATTTTTTCTGGGTGCAGCCAGAGCTGATTGGGGTCCCCCTGGCTGAGTGACATAAAAGTATTTGAATGCTGAAATATAAGCAGTGAGAGGTGAGGAAACAACACCTCGGGGACTAGAAGATGTTCATTGTCCTGCTGGGGGACTCCGGGGAGCCCCATTCTTCCTCCTGCCAACTTTACAGCTACAGAAAAAGTCCTTTCTCAGAGGAACATGTCCTGGGAGCTTTTTGCCATGCCCTCCCTGGATTCCAAGTTATTAGACTGGAGGCCGAAAAGCCTGGGGTTCTGTTACTTGAGACTAGCTGGCAGAGAAATAAGGAAAGGAGACAGAGGGACGGAGGGAGACCTGGCTTTCATGACCCTTGTCCGTGGTGAATTTGAAATAGCCCCTTGTTCAGGAGCTAGACGGCTGGAGTGAGACAGAAATATACAATAGTTACAAATATCAACAATACATTACAGTTTCACAGAAGAGAATCCTGTGGTTTTTCTCCTTAGAAACGTGGATCTTGTTAGGAGAAAGGGCAGAGACGAGGCTGCAAGACACTGCGGAGGAGAGGTTAGGAGTCAGTTTGACTAAGTTTATATCCCCAGCGGTTTTCAGGGGCAAACTCCGTGGGTTGAAAGGAAGTGGCCTCCTCAGGATTTTACGGTTTCCTCTTCTTCCTCTTCTTCCTCCTTCTTGATCCCCAATTCTTTGAGACAAAGGGGCTTCCTAAGAACCTTCCTCCTTGTTCTTCCCCTTGAAGTGTGCTTAAGATAGAATTCCTAAAGAAGGCACTGAGCAATCCACTGCACCGAAGTCCTATGTTTTCTTTTACCCAAAGATAAAAAGGTGAATAAACTGTCTTCTCCAAAGCTTGCCCACCGCTCTCACCACTGGCTACAGACCCTCCTTGGAGTGATGGGGACACACAGCTAGCTGGCCCCTAGCCCTTTCTGATAATGGTGGAAGTTGGAACTCCAATTCAGCTGGGTTCTTGAGTTTCATTGAAGTTGCCAAAGGGCCCAGGCAACCATCAACCTCCAGCCCCTCGCGTGTTTGTTCGGGTTCGCTTGTTTCTGCTCTGGGTGGTTCAGGATTGGATGGAAAATGGACCACCAAGTCAAAGCAGGACTGGCCTTCGAGCCATCGCTTTCCACTTCTCCATCAGTACCGATCCATCAAGCTGAGCTTCTCCGCGGAGACTCGTAGGTAGATTTCCCAGTGCACGCACATACAGGTATACAGGTACAGGTCAGGTGTACACTTAGTAAAATCTGGGCATGTTCCTTTTTGGCAGGTGGGGGACTGGGAAAATTTTTACAATATGCTAGTTTGAATTGAGCACAGGGTAAAAGCAATATCCCCACAATACATACACATTCAAGTAAAAGGAAAAAAAAAAAAAAAACAACCCAAACCAAAACGGAATACGTTCTAAGCATAGTATATGCTGAATTTCAATTATTCTGTTTCTATAAGAACTCTATAGGACTCTGGCTCTTCAGCCTGAAAAGGTAGGTTCTTAAGGTGGGGGACTGGGAAAATTTTTACAATATGCTAGTTTGAATTGAGCACAGGGTAAAAGCAATATCCCCACAATACATACACATTCAAGTAAAAGGAAAAAAAAAAAAAAAAACAACCCAAACCAAAACGGAATACGTTCTAAGCATAGTATATGCTGAATTTCAATTATTCTGTTTCTATAAGAACTCTATAGGACTCTGGCTCTTCAGCCTGAAAAGGTAGGTTCTTAATGATACTTCTGAATTCGTCCTTCAAAAGTGACTCAATAAAATGCTACTTTAAGGTCAGACAAAATACACGAGGGAGGAAGGAACAGGTCCCACGTGACCACGCAAGGCAGAAAGGGCCTTTGGTTACAAGGAGAGTTGCACCAATTGGTTATTAGTTTAAAAAAAAAAAAAAAGGAAAGACGTCATTTCCAATCTGTACACTTCTCATCTGCTTCAACTAACAAATGAAATGCCTTGATTTGAAGAAGGGGTGATAAATTCCTTCTCACTGTATATGGCTATATTTAAACATGTTCACTTTCCTGATATGTAAAATAGACTATATTATTATTATTATTAATTTTTACAGATAGCATCAGCTCTAAAAATATCTGAATCGGAAATCATAACTATTTACTTTTATCAAAAAGCATTTGTTTGTTTTCCCTGAATTTTCACATTTGTGCTGATGGTGGACATAAATGGTAATGAGAACAGAGAAGAGAACGTAAGATGGCCAGTGGAGAACTGACCCATGGTCGTCCCCTGGCAGGCCCCCAGCCCGGACTGTGTGCTCCACACGGATTTTGGAAGCGCGGCTGCTTCCTCTTTCTGGTGTGCAGCTCGTGTGGGATGACCTCACAGTCTCCTTGCCCCTAAGTCCCTTTGCATTCGCTGCTCGAGTACTCTGAAGATACCTAGGAAGAGTCAAGTCCTGGTTTTCTTTGTTAACACGGCAAAGAACAGCACTGCACCTTCTTGGGGGATCCATAGTCCCTGGAGATGCTGGGAAGTGGCATGAACTAGGTTTGCAGGTGGCAGAGAACACGTGCTTTTAAGGGTGGTGGGATGACCCCCATGTCACCGTACTTGTGACAAGTGGCTTCACCTCCTGTCATTGTACAGAGGGCAGGCAGAACAACTGACAGGTGGATCGTGCCATTGTACGAACAGGCAGACTAGCAACGAATTCCATTAAGGACAGGCAAACCAACAGCGTGTCTTTGTCCCACCAGGAAGACGTGTGCCTGTCACTGCATTGAGGATAGGCAGACCTACACTATTGCACTTGGGATGTCATCCACCAGCGTTATATTGAGAACCAACATCATTCCATTGTCTTACAGACAGACAGACCAAAAATGTGTGATCTTTACCGACAGATGAGCCAGCACCCGCATTGTCTTAATCAGGGGTTAATTAATGTCACTGTACTGAGTGGATTGGCCAACACTACCGCGCTGTTGGACTGAATGCAGGCAGGATGATGCCAGGTCATCAAACTAGGACAAGAAGACCAACACCAAGAAATACACCAGAACCACTCAGGACGCGCACAAATACTTATTGCTTTTGTCTGCATGGGCTGCATTGGTGGCTGCAGAAGGAATAGTACAGACAGTGACACTGAGAACACACCATGGCTGGTTGACAAGAGAGAGCAGAGTAGAACACCCAGTGCCCAATGTCACCACGTCCTTCTGAGATGTGCATGTCTCCTGTACACATGACTTTAGGGAAGGCCCCTCCCAAGGGCCAAGAGCCCCTGCTGACCCAAGAGGTTTAAGGGGAAGCTTCAGAGAGGCAGGGAAGGAGCCCACAGATTTGATATGGCGGACAGCGATACCAGCACAGTATCACCACTGGGCCGGAAACAGGCATAGAGCAACAACCCAACTAAAGTTCCCACAAGTGGCCCGCGGGAAGTAGTGCTTGTTTTAAAGTGCAAGATGTTGACACTGTCCCTGGTAGAACCTCCTTTTGTAAAACATAAAGTGCTTTTTATTTTAACTTTTTTTTTTTTTTAAACTTGAATATCACAGGAAACAAAAAAGAATTTCTATTATGGTAGGCGCTTTCCCTGCTGCGGCAGAAAATATTCGAAAGTCTGAATTGGGCATTTCAATTAGGGGTGTTTTTTGTTTTCTTTCATTTTTTGCAGGTAAAAAAAAATGAGATCATTATGCTTTTCTTCAGTGACACACAGTCTCTTTGAATAAGCTATTTCTTTTGCATATTTGACACTTGCATATCTTTTGAGTCTACACTAGTGATGTATAGGGAGAGTTTTCCTTCTACAACCCTAAAGCAATACTCCGAGTTCAGACTGTTGGCTGAGTGCCCGCCTTTGGAACCCCTCCCAGATGGCCGGGGGCAATTAGAATTGAGTACAAGTGGTGCAACTCACCCTGATGCTATCTCAAAATAAAATCTCAGGTACTACAGAATACTGAAGTCGATGAAGACATTGGAGTAAGGGTTTAGCGCTGGGATCGTGGCTTATGGCGCAGAGACTTCCCCGTGACACGAGTATTCCCTGTAGCCTTCTAACAGTGGGGTCCATCCAGGAGGTGATGGAGAGGTGTTTCTAGAGGTGGTCGGGCAACACCCAGTATTCAATAGGTCAACCCACTCTTTCAACACCAGCAACTTGTTCCAGAATCCTCCTCCAGCTGAAGCCGGAAGGGATGGGACTGTTGCCCTCAAAAGCTGTGATGGAAAGCCGTGGAAGAAGAATGGGAGTGGGTGACCTTGATTATGTCTAGAATAACGGTGGTGACAGCTGGGAGCTCCACCCGTGTGACCTCCCAGAGAGAGCAACAGAGTCGTTAGAAGGATGCACTTTACCCTATGGCTTGGCCGGCTTTACGGTGATGGGCCGGTCATGGCTCTCAAGGTCTTGGGGAACCTTCTCTGGAGTCTCTCTTCCTTTGGGGGGCTTTGAAGGGCCTTTCTGTTTCACAGTTTATGCAGAAAAGCTCTGTGGCAGGTAAGCTGAACAGCCCACTAGTCTCTCCTCCATGGCAGGGTAGTTCAGATGCTCGGGTCCCGAGAACTTCCATGGGCTCCTCCCCCTGGCAACACACGGACGTCGGGGGAGATGTGGTTCTCCAGCTTACACTTGTCCTGGCCACTGGGGCCTTTTCCAGTCAATGCTTCTGTGGAGTAAATACAGTTCTGCCTTAAGAACTTAGGGGAGGTTGGGAGGGGGGAGCTTTCAAAGTGGTTCTTCTCTGGTCGTGTCCCAACACCGAACTTGGGACTGGTGCTCCCATGGAGGCTTTTGGGAGGGCTGGAGTCCACACTGTAAAGCAGCTGCCCCTCGTCATCTGTGTCTGCGTCAATGTACTGGTGGATCCCTGCCTCGAAATTGAATGCTATTGCTGCGTGCTTCTCAGGTGACCGGGGGGGTGTCCTAGCACTTGCTGTGGTGTAGACAGAGGATTCCGGGCTCAGTACAGACTTGTCCAAGAGCGTGGCACACTCCAGCCCAGTGACAGCAGCCGCGGCACCTCCCCGGCTCCTAAGAGGGTCATACCTCTCCAGAACAGGCAGGAGAGGACTAGGATCACCCTCCATAAAGTTGACCTTAAGTGCTCGGAGCTTCAAGGGGTTGGTCTTCATGGAACTCTTAGGGCTCTCAATGAAGAAACTAGAGCGATGGCTGCCATCAGGGGTGGGATTGGCCTCTGCAAACCTGCCACCACTGGCACCCAGAGCTCCCTGCCAGCCCATCTCTGGGGCCATGCTGCCTCCAGTCTTGCTAGCGAGTGATGCCAAAGGGCTGTGGGAGAATCTGGTGGCTTCCTGGAAGTCCGTGGCACAGCTGATGAAGCTATCAATGCTCGACATACTTCGCATGTCGATTACTCCTTCCGTGCGAGTGGGCAGAGGCGCTATGGGGCTGGGGATGCTCTCCATTTCAAGTTCCTCCTTTGGTTTGCTTTGTGTGGCTGACTCCTTGGTATTGAGGATGGGCTGGGACTGGGCCTTGGCCATCTTATTGTACATGTCTTCCAACTGCTGGACATTCAGGTGCTGCGGGCTAGAGGATGATCTGGCTTTCTCAGGGGATCCCTGCTCCTTAGTTTCAAAGGACTTACTTGAGCTGGTTTCTGAAAGTGTCCTCTTTGTCCATTTCCATTTGTTGGGAGACAAGTGGTTATCTTGCACTTTCTCCTTCTTATTCATGTTATCCCCATTTTTCTCAACCACAATGTCCATCATCTCAATGCTCCGGGCGAAAGCATCCTTCATGTTCATGGATACGATGCTGCCATTCCTCTTGGCTCTCTCCAGAGCCTCTCTCCTCTTGATTGCTTTCTCCTGCCTCTTCTGCTCTTTGTAGAACTCAGAGAAGTTATTGACAATGATGGGGATGGGAAGAGCAATCACCAGGACCCCTGCAATGCAGCAGAGCCCCCCTACAATTTTTCCCAGAAGGGTTTTGGGGTAGATGTCTCCATATCCAACAGTTGTCATGGTGATGGTGGCCCACCAGAAAGAGGCCGGGATGCTTTTGAACTTGGTGTCATCCTCATCCTTCTCGGCAAAGAAAACAAGGCTGGAGAAGATCATGATGCCCATGGCGAGGAAGAGGATGAGCAAACCCAGCTCGTTGTAGCTCCTCCGCAGCGTGAAGCCCAGGGACTGGAGGCCAGTGGAGTGGCGCGCGAGCTTGAGGATGCGGAGGATCCGCATGATGCGGAAGATCTGGACCACGCGGCGGACGTTCTGGAACTGCAGTACACTCTTGTTGGACTCGGTGAGGAAGATGGTGACGTAGTATGGCAGGATGGCCAGTAAGTCGATGGCGTTGAGTGGGCCTTTGAAGAACTTCCACTTCTTGGGGGAGGAGAGGAACCGCAGCAGGTACTCCATGGTGAACCACGCGATGCACACGGCCTCCACGTGGGCCAGCTGGGGATTGTCCGTGGTCTGGCCAAACTCATCGAGGCTCTGCAGCTCAGGCAGCGTGTTGAGTGACAGGGCGATGGTGGAGAGGACAATGAACATGATGGAAATGATGGCAAGGATCTGCAAGGAGAAGAGAGTGGGATTAGTTACCAGGCACCAACAGGGAGATCCTCATAATTCCCCGAGTCTACAGGGCCCTCCGCAGTGTCTGAGAGTGGTCTCACTTCTCACTAGTCACTCAATGACTGGAGGTCTGTGCTACAAAGACAACTTATTCCAATCCATTTATTATCTACATGTGGAAACCAAGGCCAGGGAACAGAAATTATTTAACTCTGATCAGCAAGCCCAGTGGTTGGAAAACTTTTTTTTTTTTTTTTTTTTAAGATTATTTACTCTGAGACCAGTAGATGAGTAAAGGTTACATCTCTGGACTCTGGTATGGCCGACTGCTGTTCGAGTTCCAGACCTGGAGGCTTGAAACTCACGCCAGGCATGTGTGCGTGCGTGCTCAAGATGTCAAGAGGAGAATAGAGGAGAAGAAATTTCAGCGTAGCCATCCTGCCTGGGATGGTGATTTCTCACTTTCTGTCTCTGTCTTTCTTGAGAGCACACACACTCTATAGCGAAAATCTCTCTAAGGGAAGAAAAAAAAAGATTATTTATTTATGCTATGAATAGGAGAAAAAGACAGAGGGAAAAGGAGAGACAGGCAACAACCCCAACATGATCCCCAGGGCATGACATATCCTCAGCCTTCAGTCAGCTCTGGATCATTGGCAAGAGTGTGCCCAACGTACTCAGGGAGGCTTCCAGACTTGAACTGAGAACCTTCCCATGTGTGATAGCCCTGTAGAGCAGCATGTTTTACCACTGCATCATTTGACCCTGGCAAGCTTTTTCTGTAAAGGACCAGACAGCAAACACCTTGGCTCTGAAACCCAGGCAGTCTCTGTTGTGATCACTCATCTCTGCAGTTGTGGCCTGAAAGCAGCCTCAGATAACACCCACAAATGGGTGCAGTGGGTGCTTACTTGCAGAAACAGGCGGTAGGCTGAATGTGACCTGTAGGCCATAGCTTCCTGAGGGCTGAGCTAGATCGGAGGTTCATGACTGTAATGGGGTGGGGCACTACTTTCATGATGGTAATACTAAATACTTAGGATTTGCAGTGTCGGGGGGACCAGCAGTTAGTGTAATGGCTATGTCGCTGGACTCCCATGTAGTCGACCGCAGTTCGCATCCCGGACCCGGTGGCTTAAAACTCATGCCGGGCGCGTGTGCGTGCATGCCCAAGATCCTGAGAGGAGAATGGAGGAGAAGGGATTGCAGCGTGGCCATCCCCCCTGGGAGGATGATTTCTCGCTTTCTGTCTCTCTGTCTCTCTCTGTCTGTCTGGTGAACGCACACGCCCTATAGCAAAAACCTCTCCAAAAAAAAAGAGAGAGAGAGAGAGAGAAAGAGAGAGAGAGAGAAAGAGAGAAAAGGGATTTGCAGTGTCAGTGCTAGGCACTTTCCATGCAATTACTTATTTTGACCTTACAGCAACTTCATTAAATACTATTGGCTCCATCGAACAGATGAAGACACTTGGGCTTCCACAGAAGAAAAATTCTGTGGGAAATTCTGTGGCAGAGCCAGAATTTTAACCCAGGTCTATCAGATCTCAGACCAAGTGCTGCTAATGCTCTGTTAAAAATCAGGTGCCGGCAGGTGGCATGGTGGTTGTGAGCCCTTGACTCCCACATGGCTGACCGTGGTTTGAGTCTGGACTTGGCAGCTTGCTTTCTCTCTCTCTCTCTGTCTCTCTCTGGTCAAGTTAAAATAAATAAATAAGTAAATAAATAAATAAATAAATAAAGTTAAATAAAATAATTATTTTTAAAAATTTAGATGGACCAGGGATACCAGCAGATGGTGTAATGGTTATGTCACTGGACTCCCACATGGCTGACCTTGGTTCAAGTTTTGAACCCAGGTGCTTGAAACTCACGCTGAGCACATGTGTGTGTGTACCCAAGATCCCAAGGGGAAAATGGAGGAGAAGGGATTGCAGTGTGGCCATCCTCCCTGGGGGGGTGATTTCTCACTTTCTGTCTGTCTCTCTGTCTCTCTGGCAAGCACACACATCCTATAGCAAAAAAAACCTCTCTCTTAAAAAAAAGAAAATTGGATGGGCCAGGGGCCAGTAGGTGACATGGTAGTTGAGGCACAGGACTCCCACATGGCCAACTGTGGTTCGAGTCCTGGACTTGGTGACTTGCTTTCTTACTCTCTCTCTCTCTTTTCTTGGTGGGCGCATGTGCCCTCTGGTGAATGAAAAGAAAATAATAATATTAAGTAAAATTAAATAAATACTTCTTACACACACACACACACACACACGGGCCCAGCCTCTCTGGCACAATTGGTAGTGACTGTGGAGCTGGAAGCCACATGCTGACTGCAGTCTGAGTTCCCGCCTGGTCAGCCTGGAAACATGCAGATGTGCAAATGCTAGTGTGTGCCCAGGATCCTGGTGGACGAGAGGCCTGGTGGAAAAGGACTGCAGCGTCTCTGTGTCCTGTGGAGGGTGCTTCTCTCTCTCTCATGAGCGCATATATTTTATCATACATTTTTAAAAAATCAGATAAAAGCTAGTGGTTCTTCTGCTAGAAAATGCCCAGGATCAATAAAGAGAAAATAATAAATAAAATTAAATAAAAAAATCTTTGCAAGTAATTTCCAAGGAAGCACAGACACTGTGGGTCCACGTTATTAACTCCTGAGCTCTGGGACTGGCAGGTGGTGTGGTGGTTAAGGGTGCTGGACTTCCACGTGGTTGACTGTGGTTAAAGTCTTAGACCTGGCGGCTTGCTTTCTTACTTCCCCCCCATCCCCAGCCCTCTCTGGTCGAATTAAGATAAAATAAAAATAAATAAAATTTTAAAAAATGAACTATGAGCCCTTGTGAAGGTGAAGGACCTTGGTTTATCTATCTTTGAGTCCCTGAATCAAGAAGAGGGCTTGGGCAGACAAAGGGCCTGCTGGATGTAATGGGAAGATATTGGAACCCAGGCCAGTCTGCAGACTATGCAGAAAGGCAGTAGATGTGATAAATTGCTCAGAAGATCTTTTTTAAAAAATTCAAATCCAATCACATTTCCTGCTTTCTACATCTCTAAGACTCTTCAGGACAAAAATCTAAACCTCTTCGTGTATCTATTGGGTTTCCCACACCCGCCTCTTCCTGGAAACTTGTCCTTGTCCTGTTCTCACTGCAGGGGGGGGTGGACCTGGTCACCATGCTTGTAACATCTGGCCCTGGCTGCCACTGATTGGTCTAGGTGTGGACAGAAAACCAGGCTGAGCCCATCTATAATATATGCTGGGCTTGGTCAACCCACCTTTAAGCCATGGCGCTCAGAGATCCATGGGGTGAGTGGGCTAGAGGAGTGAGCCCCTGAATTAAAGGTCCAATAGAATCAAGCTGGAAGCTGCTTTGTGATAAGCTCCAAACAAGCATCTCCAAAGTTGTAGGAAAATAGAAGCCATAGAAAAACGTGTGGAACCTTTGAAAGAAGCCACGGAAAAAAGGGAAGAGGAGAGGACAGGGGTGGCAAGGCCACATGGTGGGGGTGGGGGTCACCAGGGACTGCAGAGTGGCATTTAAGAGGACTCTGATGGCAGCTGTTTGGGGTTTAAGCCTTCACTCTGCCACTTCCTTTTTCTGAGCACGTTATTTCCATTATTTCCCTGTCATTTTCCATCTGACCCCTCAGTCTGGCCTCTCCTGCCACAGGTTCTTGAACTTCACCTGTCTCTGGCCACAAGCTATTGCTGGTCAGTTCTGCACACCAGAGCCTCCTTCCTTCCTTCCTTCCTTCCTTCCTTCCTTCCTTCCTTCCTTCCTTCTTCTTTCTTTGTTTTCTCTCTTTTTCTTTTTTTCTTCTTTCTTCCTTCTTCATCTTCTCCTCTCTCTCTATTTCTTTTTCTTCCTTCCTTCCTTCCTTCCTTCTTCCCTCTTTTTAGTTTTGCTATAGAGTGTATGCACTCACTGCAGAGCAACAGAGACAGAGAGAGGGAAAGTGATAAAGTACCCTTCAAGGGTGAGGGCCACTCCACAATTCCTTCTCCTCCCTTTCCTTCTTTTAGGGATCTTGAGCATACACATACCTCATGTATTTGATATATATATATATATATATATATAAAAGAAATGGAAAATTATTTATTGATCGTAACCACCTGGTATGTTCATCAAGTCATCAATTGTAGAACTCGATCTGCACAATTGGCCATGTGAGATCCAGCCATGTTAACCACCAGGCCAATGGCTGGTCCAAGTCTTAGTTTCTTTATTTGTACTCATTAAAAAAGAAAAATTCTATAATCGTATTAGAAAAGGAAATATTTGATGCATACAAAAGCAGACCTAAGCTATTGTGTCATTGGAAAAGTTAAGCCATGATGTATTTTTCCATGCAAAAAATGCATCACGACTTTTCTGACGACACAATATATACGACTTATGAACCACGCTTTGGGGACATCTGGGAACCCAGCACCCAAGTCAAGGAGCCGAGCAGGGCATCATGACCATGATACTCCCACGTCCCTTCCCGCCCCAGAGAGGGCCTCTGTGTAGACCTTTCCCCATCCCTTCGCTTTTCTGCAGTTTTCGATAGGACTATCAGCGTCCCTAAAGAAACTGCCGTTGGCTTCTCTGTTTTGACATCACACTTCTGCATTCTCCTGCTACTTAATACTACTCGCTCCTGAGTGGTAAAAGCCAGCCAGCCCACCCACTCACCTTCTTTGTTCTATTTTAACCTTATCTAAGAAATAATATGCAAGACGGCTGATTTCTCATGCCAGGGATATACGTACATGTTAAATATTCATCAAAAGAAACACGTGACTACGGAATAAAGCATGTTGGCAGTACTCTTTGGGAACTTCTGTGCTGAGGTTCGGAGGGCAGGATCCGGCGCTAAGGTTTATAGGCCAAGTGGCCTTGGGCAATGAAACGCTCCCTGCCTCAGTTTCCTTATTGGTAAAATGAAGAGATATGGGTAGCTCTTAACTGGGGCTGGTTTAACCTCCTGATGATTTCTGTAGACACTTTCAGTTGTCACAAA